TATTCGCTGGTACAACAGAATAATCAAAGTACATCTGGTGTTGGTTTCAACACTGGCTGCTACAACAGAATAATCAAAGTACATCTGGTGTTGGTTTCAACACTGGCTGCTACAACAGAATAATCAAAGTACATCTGGTGTTGGTTTTAACATCGACATGTACACCAGAATAATCGAAGTGTATTTGGTGATGGTTTTAACATTGGCTGCTACAACGGAATAATCAAAGTATATCTGGTTTTAACGTGGGGTGTGAATCCAACTAAACGTTGCAAAATTTGCCCGAAAAAAATGGTTTTCTTGAGAATTGTAATAACTGACACGTCATTCCACATCTGGTTTGTGTGTGTGTGTGGGGGGGGGGGGGGGGTTGTATAAATGAACATATATATATATATTTATTTATATATATGCCTATATATAGATTTTTTTTTCTCGGGGGGGGGGGGGGGGGGTGACACCATTAGTTGCCGCACCAGGTGACACCCAACCCAGCTACGCCACTGGTTTTAACATCGACAGGGATAACAGAACGATCACGGTAGGCCTATAGCCTATATGTATTGAAGAGTTTGCTAGAATATATTATATCTGCAGTGTAAAGCCTAGCTTCATTTATGTAGTCAGTGGCCAGAAAAAATCTCTCTAGGATAGAAATGCCAAGTTTAATTACAAAAAAAAAAAACAAAAAAAAACTAACAACTTTTTATAAAAGCAGTTTGTATGTGACGTCATTTAAATTAAGCTTGCAAAGATAAACTGGTTCCCAACATGTTTTTAGTTCTTAGAAGCTCCAGCACAGAGGATCAGTTGAAACAAGATGGTGATTGACGCTTCCCTTTTCTTAAAAAAGGAGGCTGAACTTAAAGGCTAAAGTTTACCACAGGAACATTTTAAAACAGGGAAACTTTGATGCACGCAATGCACAATATTTAAACTTTGTGTTCACAATCAAGTGAAATGAGAATGATTGAATAGAGTTCAAAACCCGGTTCAAACCGTCTTAGCCTGCAGAAGTTCCCAGTGTAGGGTACCAAGAGTCAGAGATAGCCTGCAGGTCGGTCTGGTAGCAGAAAGGTTGGTTCCACTAACACTAGGCCGTGGAACATTCTGTAGGGGTGTTAGCGTGCATGCACACACTTTATACCAGCAACATCACAGTTCATAGCATTTAAGGGAAAGCTGGATAAAGTCGGTAATGTATGGGTCAGTTGGAGAGATCAAACAATATAGGGTCAGTTGGAGTGTATCGAAGTTGACGTTTACATAAATTAATAATATTTAATATGTTCCATTCTGTTCACTACCTTAAAATTAAAGATAGATAATAAATAAACACGTGTAGAAAACTTCAAAACAATAACGCTCTGGTTAACATTCGCGAGCTAAATATGTTTCAAGCACACTTTAAAGGCTACAAGTCTGTAGTGCTGTATAAATTACCCGATTATCCTTGGTTGAAACTAGTTGGTCTCCTTCCATCACTTGTTAAATGCAGCGATCACAGGCGTGGTTAGAACAACAACACACTAGTATGGTTAGAACAACAACACACTAGTATTGTTCGACCGCTTTAAAACATCTGTTCGGTCGTACGGCAAAGGTTTACAGTGTGGTGAACTGTTTCACTCGTACAACGCCATCATCACCGGCGTGGTTAGAACTACAACAACACACTAGTGAAACAACACCACTTTAACACATCTCGATCATACGACAATCGTGGTGAACTGTTTTTACCTCCCCCCCCCCCCCTCTCCACTTTAACACACTAAAACGGATGATAACTGTCAATTGTAAACAACATACACAACTCTCGACAATAAAAACCTAATAAACTGACAGTGGGAGCTTATGCCACGAATTGTTGACCTAAAACTGTCGAATGTTTTTTTTTTTTTTTTTAAATGTAGACAACTTGTACATCTATTTGATCCAAGCAAGAAAATAAATAATAAAAGTAGTTGGTGATAAATCATATGCTTAAAGATGTCAATGCCTACAGAGGTTCAAACACAATATAAAAGCGTAAAGTTCACCACATGCCGATGTTCTAGGTAATCCAAAAGATAAACACCTGAACTATAATATTACCTGGAAATGCACGCGGCGGGTGGACCAAACGAAATTCACACAACTGCCGTGAGATTCATACACGAGGAACTTCGTCTCTTATGTACTCAACGTTCTCAGAGGTTCTCAAAGTGAGATCTAATGCTCTCAATGGACCAAACGAAACTCACACAACTGCCGTGCGATTTATACACGGGGAACTTCGTCTCTTATGTACTCAACGTTCTCAGAGGTTCTCAAAGTGAGATCTAATGCTCTCAATGGACCAAACGAAACTTACACAACTGCCGTGAGATTTATACACGGGGAACATTGTCTCTTATGTACTCAACGTTCTCAGAGGTTCTCAAAGTGAGATCTAATGCTCTCAATGGACCAAACGAAACTTACACAACTGCCGTGAGATTTATACACGGGGAACATTGTCTCTTATGTACTCAACGTTCTCAGAGGTTCTCAAAGTGAGATCTAATGCTCTCAATGGACCAAACGAAACTCACACAACTTCTGTGAGATTCATACACGGGGAACGTCGTCTCTTATGTACTCAACGTTCTCAGAGGTTCTCAAAGTGTTATCTAATGCTCTCAATGGACCAAACGAAACTCACACAACTGCTGTGAGATTCATACACGGGGAACGTCGTCTCTTATGTACTCAACATTTTCAGGGGTTCTCAAAGTGCTATATGATGCTCTCAATGGTTCTAGTAGCATGTAGAGCATACACTGAGCGTTCTCAATGGTTCTCAAAGTATGCAGAGCATGCACTCAACATTCTCAAAGGTTCTCAAAGTATTATATAATGCTCTCAGTGGTTCTAGTAGCATGTAGAGCATGCACTCAATGTTCTCAGATTCTCAAAGTATTATATAATGATCTCAATTAACAGCGCCCTATAGCCAAACTCGATTGTGCTCTGTAAATAGCAAACTCAATTATGCCCTGAAAATAGCCTAATTTAATTATGCCCTGTAAATAGCCTAATTCAATTATGCCCTGTAAATAGCCTAATTCAATTATGCCCTGCAAAATAGCCTAATTCAATTGTGCACTGTAAATAGCAGCGCCCAATTATGCCATGTAAATAGTCAAGCTCAATTATGCTCTGTAAATAGCCACGCCCAATTATGCTCTATAAATAGCCTAATTCAATTATGCTCTATAAAAAGCCACGCCCAATTATGCTCTGTAAATAGCCTAATTCAATTATGCCCTGTAAGTAGCCTAATTCAATTATGCCATGTAAATAGCCTAATTCAATTATGCCCTGTAAGTAGCCTAATTCAATTATGCCATGTAAATAGCCTAATTCAATTATGCACTGTAAATAGCCTAATTCAATTATGCCATGTAAATAGCCTAATTCAATTATGCCCTGTAAATAGCCTAATTCAATTGTGCACTGTAAATAGCCAAGCCCAATTATGCCCTGTAAATAGCCAAGCCCAATTTTGCCCCGTAAATAGCCAAGCTCAATTATGCCCTGTAAATAGCCAAATTCAATTGTGCACTGTAAATAGCCACGCCCAATTATGCCCTGTAAATAGCCAAATTCAATTGTGCACTGTAAATAGCCAAGCCCAATTATGCCCCCTAAATAGCCAAGCCCAATTATGCTCTGTAAATAGCCAAGCTCAATCCCTTACACCTGTAAGTGGTGTGGCAACACCTCCTTAAAGCAGTTATCTACAAACTTAATCAGCCAAACCTCTTTACTTTTAATCCAATCAACATATATAGCTCTTACATCATATCACCTGACCAGGTGAGAGAGCTTAACTTCGCCAGAATCTTTCCCAGGCCATGGTTGAAAAAGGAATAGTAGATGAGCGCAGGACTAGCAACCCTGCCTCATAAAAAAATAAAACCAAGCTACAGAATCTACAAATACACCAACCAAACGCCTTCTTGGATGAGAAAGTTCTTCTTTAGAAGAAACACAAATCACAAAACAACAAGCGATTGATAGAGCTATTAAAACAGGCAAATAGGGATGGATCAGGCAGGCCACGAGAAAATAAGAGAAAAACTGTGAGGCAAGCATTGGACTGGAACAGTGGCGTAGCCAGGAATTGGTCATGGGAGGGGTTCAAAAATGTTTCCATACATATATAATCCTATATATGGGGAGAGATGTAGCTGCAGCTTTTAGCTCCTCAAGGGCTTCACAGAATGAAGTCAGGTGGACAGCTGTATTGCTGGTTCCACTACCTACCCCCCCCCCCCCCCCAGCTATACAAAACCGTTCTAATGATGGCCACTACAATTGGATAGTACTATTGATAAATACTATAGATGTGGCTTTAAAAAACTTTGTTGTATTTTTGAAAAGCCAGTTAGAATAGGTTCAGTAAGGTACACCCTGCAGGCTATTTCAAATGAAATTTTGTTTGATAGTTTAGTGATATAAAAACAAAATTCTTAATATAAAGTATATTGAACATATTTATATTCCAATGATTTATGAGAAGCTTAAAGAAAAAAAACAACAGAAATAAAAGTAAAGAGTTTCTAAAAGGGATTAGATAAATGCTTTGGGGAAAATCTCACAGGTCAAGTAGTTTTTAGGGAATAAGATTTGTAAAAATAGTATGTTATTATGCATTAGTGATACAGTTAGTAATCAGATTAAGTTATAGTTAGGTAGTGTGTGTGACTAGAAAAAAATCAATCATTTTTCCCTTCCTATGGTGTAACTGGGGGTCAAGAGGGTAGTTACCTCCCCCGAGTCTATTGAGCTGAAACCCAGAAGACAACTGTCACAACAGCTCTGTCTACAGCTTTAACACACATGCCACACCACCAAAGAGAAACAACCCCTGCCACAAGGACTATAACTCTAGCAGTCAAAGCTAATTACCCCCCCTTGGAGCAGGTGCAGTATTTTGCCAAAGGAGAATGCGCTATTTAAAAATGAGCACCTACCTGTGATATGCTTGCCAAGTATTCCTCATCATCCTGGTCCTCTTCATCATACCTACACACATTTTCATTTAAACTTGATTAAAATATCATCAAAAGAACAACATCAAAGACAATCAGTTAAATTAGCTACAGGACTCAAAAATATAATTTCACATAAACCTCCATGCTGAAGAAAAAATTAAAAATTAAAATGATAATATATAATTATGATTTTTATCCACTCAAATTAATGACATGAACTAAATAATCTTGACACATTCTGATTTATTAAATAGTAAATCCCATATTTTCTTTCATTTTTGAAAAAAATATAAATCCAACTATTTAGGTTAAACTAATTCTTTTGAGTCCTGTTATTAAGCTTTAATATAAATGTTTGTAGTGCATCATTTTACATGGCGATGATAAAATGTTATGTATATACAAGAAATAATATTAACTCCAATGGTCCTTGAATCAGTGGTTCTTAATCTGGTTTCAAGCGAACCCCAGGGGATTCAGTGAGTTTGTCTCAGGCATTTGGCAGAGGTCAAGACACATAACTGCCTTATAAGATTCAAGATCTGACTTTGTCAGTGCAGAAGTGCAGAAGATAGAACTATTAAGAAGAGTTTGGCGGATATGAAACTGGTGGAGTTCGGCGCCTCCAAAAATGTTAAGAACCACTGTCCTAGTTTGCAGTGGTTCTGGATTGTGATCACGGATGAGAAGGCCATCATTATTTTGTTACAACTGGTTAAAGTATGTAGGTACATGTTTTAACATTTTAAAAATTGTAACAGAGTAAATCCCAATAGATCTGAATTAAGGGTATATAGGAAATGTACTCTTTTGTAAGTGATTGAAAAAATTAAACCTATACTATATAAACACAAGATTAATTAAACTGAATACCATCATAATATAAATACAAAACACCAACAATAGTTACACAAACTAAAGCCGACATGTCAAAAGCCAACAGTAAGAGGACCCTAAGAATTACAACAGAGACTTTAAAGGCATGACTTACTCTACACTATCCAAATGCCAACAGTACACAACTTACTCTACCCTAGCCTAATGCCAACAGTACATGATTTTCTGTACTAGCCAAATGCCAACAGTACGTGGCATACTCTACACTAGCCAAATGCCAACAGTACCTGGCATACTCTACACTAGCCAAATGCCAACAGTACCTATGAACTACACCAGAGACTTTAAACCATAACTTACTCTGTACTAGCCAAATGCCACCAGTACATGACATACTCTACACTAACCAAATGCCAACAGTACCTAAGAACTACACCAGAGACTTTAAACCATAACTTACTCTGTACTAGCCAAATGCCACCAGTACATGACATACTCTACACTAACCAAATGCCAACAGTACCTAAGAACTACACCAGAGACTTTAAAGCATGACTTATTTGACTAAGAACTACACCAGAGACTTTAAAGCATGACTTACTTGACTAAGAACTACACCAGAGACTTTAAAGCATGACTTACTTGACTAAGAACTACACCAGAGACTTTAAAGCATGACTTACTTGACTAAGAACTACACCAGAGACTTTAAAGCATGACTTACTTGACTAAGAACTACACCAGAGACTTTAAAGCATGACTTACTTGACTAAGAACTACACCAGAGACTTTAAAGCATGACTTACTTGACTAAGAACTACACCAGAGACTTTAAAGCATGACTTACTTGACCTAAGAATTACACCGGAGACTTTAAACCATGACTTACTCTACACTAACCAAATGCCAACAGTACCTATGAAATACACCAGAAACTTTAAACCATGACATACTCTACACTAGCCAAATGCCAACAGTACCTATGAACTACACCAGAAACTTTAAACCATGACTTACTCTGTACTAGCCCTGAAGGCCTCAGTAAATGTGTTGCCGTCTCCAGTGTGTTGGGGTGACATGTCCCAGTCCTCAATACACTTGGGCACACAATAGGCTTGGTCGTCTTCCAGAAGCATCTGAAGTTTTTTGCCCTGCAGGCTACCAAACCTGGGAACAGACCGGTCACATTTCTTACAGTCACATTTCTTACAGTCACATTTCTTACAGTCACATTTCTTACAGTCACATTTTTTACAGTCACATTTCTTACAGTTAACCATGTTCTAATCAGTGGGAAGATATGATCAGATGGAAGTAAAATGACTGCAACCTGAAAGCCTTGAATTCAGGGTTAGAGGCTTCAGGATGTTCTTGAGTCTGATGGGTACCTGACTCACATTAGGGAAACTAAAGCAGTAGGACATAGTGCTGACTACACTATTATCTGTATGGCTAGATAACTAAAATAAATAAACTCTACTTCATCTGCCTGATGTGTCATGGCTAAAAATGATAAAAGATGATGATGTTCCTATTAGGATAATTAGAAGGGAAGACACCGATATCAAAGGTACCTATCACTTTTCAGATAGTTTACCATTTTCAAATCAGAATAAATAGGAGGGAATGGAGTGTACTGACTTGAAAAATATTTGTATCTATAAAGGATGGATTTGTTTATTTTGTAAACATAAAAAAAAATTAACCTCAAAAGCTTTCATAAGTATCTTATTTCTTATTTCTTTTAATGCAGTTCTAATCCCTAATTATCTTCTCTTTCTTCTCAAATGTAATAGAGCATTGGCTATCCTCCAACACCATTATGTTTTACGTGTCAACACCGTATGCACATTATGGCCTAGTGGCTCAGACTTGAGCCTAATTTCTAGTTAAAATGCTCCCATTTCCTTTGTCCAGACAAAAACAATCAGCAAATGCAGCTGTTGTTTTTATTTTAGATTTTTCTCTCCTAAACAAATCGCTGCCACAAGCTAACAAATGTAAGCCACGGGGAGGGGGTCTGAACTTGCGACTTTTGGAGTTGGCGATCATACACTTTCCCATCAGAACATACCATCCCCTGCTTTAATTACATTTCTGGGATCTTCAACATTTTCTAATATTCTTTTGTAACCCATCAATAAGGTTAACTTTTTGCATCGTGTTTACATACTCTGCTGCTGAATTTTAAGGACACATTTTTTATGGGATGGTGTGGCCAAGCAGTAGAGAGCTAGACTGCTAACCCAAAAGTCTCAAGTTCAAATTCAGGTTCAAGTCTGTAGAATATCCTTGAGTCTACCATGCTCTAATGGGTACCTAAATCAAGATGGGGAAAACAAAGGCGGCTGGCATAGTGCCGACCATACTATCCCTTCATATGAGGTGTCTTAAACAGATAAACTCTACTTATTCACCCCATGTGTCTTGGGTATGAAAGGGAATAATGAAAGGGAATAGATGATGATTTTTTAAATCTTTAATTTGTTAAAACCTAATGTACACTTACACCTTCAATGTATAATTTTGTAACTGCTGATCATTTAAGAAATTGAATAAGTTATATTGGGATTAAATACATACAATAACTATAAGTTGGGATTAAGTTGTACAGGTAAAAGTGAATCCAGCATACCTTGAATTCTGTGAAAAACTTTGACTCAAGCTGCTGGTAGACATAGAAGAGAAGGAATTATTCACGTTACTCATTGACAATGATGCTGATGATGAGTAAGAGGACGTGGGTGAGAATGAAGAGACGTTCTCACCCGGGGGGTCATATCTTGAGTAGCCACACCCCCAGGCACCAGAGTACTCCTCCCCGGGGCCATCGTCCAGTTGAAACGTCACAGTTTTGGCGCTGTCACTGTAGGTTGGAGTTGTCGGCACGTCTCTGCTTCTTTTTGTCCTGACTTGCAGGGACTCAGGCGAGGTGATCTGCACAACCTTCCGCTTCACGGGACCAGGGCTGGCTGGCTTACCCAGCTCAATAGCCGCACAGAAACTTGGGCGCCGCAACTCCTCCGTGAAAGAATCCAACTGGTTCTGGTTATTTCCAGATTCGGAACAATATTTAACGATCCCGCTGTTGTTTTCAACGGCAAGCTTAAAGCTCGGTCTACGCACTCCATAATTAATCCCTGAGCTAATACTTTCACTTGCAGCCTCCTTAGAATTCTGCTGAGTGTGTTCTCCCTGACTTGGATAAACTGGGTTATCTTTCACACAGCTGTTTTCAGATTGCTTGAGGGATTTCACTGAGGTGATGAGCACTTCAGAATTCTGGGAGTTGCTCTCCACAAGGAAGCGACCGGAGCTTCGGATAAAGTCTTTTCTTCTGTGGCTGCCATACAAGCTCCTCTGGCGCTTGTGTGTGGGGGTGAACTCTGGTTCAGCAGAGACAGCTTCCTGGTCAGCTGTCTGCTCTGATGTTGACCTGAAGTTAATGCCCTGTAAGGAGAGTGACCCTAGGTCAGTGGCCTGTCCTGAGAGGGCATCTAGGTGAGTGCCCTGACCATTGTCTGTTGAGTAGCCAGAGCTGTAAGTCTGGGTATTCTCTGCTGTGTAGTCCTTATAGTTGTTGTTGTAGTTGTAGATGGTAGAGTTGCTGGGCTGGTTGCCGTTAGCTGGGCCAATAGAAGGGCATGATGATGTGTACCTTATGTGGGAACAAGGCACATTTTCTTGAGTAAAATATTCCAGTGGACTTTCTATTTTAATGTTAAAAAAACAGCTAGGTAAAGACAATATTATTTTAAACATAAGACTTATGTAAGAAACATAAGGTTGAAAAGTTTTTTTGAAAGTGAATATTATTGTTTAACTTTGTAAAACTTATTTCTGCACTATGTAATGGCTGCCTTAATAACTATTCTTTATTGTCTGATTGTAGAAGAGTCAACAGCTTATCTTGACTTTACTATTAGTAAAACACTGGCTTCATTATAAGCATTGGACTTTCTTTTAAAGTTGACTAAAAAAATGTTATTGTAAATCTACACTTTTCATTTGAATAATCAACAATAATGTGCATTAATCTTAAGTTGTGCCACTGAAATGGCACATAATCAACCATAGGCGTAGGGTGGGGGTACATGCGCCCCCGGGCGCCGACCTTAGGGGGAGCCAAAATGGGTTGGAAATACAAATTAAAATGTCATTTTAGTTGCATTTTTGCATTATAAATAGTTGGGGGGGGGGTGCAAATCAAAAGTTTAAGGGGGGCTGTGCAAATCGAAAGTTTGTAATCGGCCATCAAGAAATCTCCAGAATCTGAGCTGGCCTCAACAACTTTCCCCTTCAGTAACCCATCTCAGCCATCAACACTAGGTTTTTAAATCAATGAATGAAGTCATCATTTCATTATAAACTAATGCAATAAATAATTTTTCCAAACCGGTAACAATCAATAAAAAACTCATAGAAATTTTTTCTAACATAATACAATATTTATTCTGTATCAGCTTTCAAAAGTCTAACTGAAAGACATTACCTGTTATCTTGTCCATATGACTCACCTGTTTTGTAGCAACATACGAGCAGCCCTACACTCGTAGCAGTCCACATCTTCACAGGACACAGATGAGGTGTACGGGTATTTTGATGAGTACATGGGCAGGTTACCGTTAAACGCATCAATACTCAGTGCATCTGTGGAAAATACATCAATACTCAGTGCATTTGTGGAGAACATATCAGTACTCAATACATCTTTAGAATATACATCAATATTAAAGCATCAGTAGGAAAACATCAATACTCAGTGCATCTGTGGAAAATACATCAATACTCAATACATCTTTAGAATATACATCAATATTAAATCCATGAGTAGGAACACATCAATACTCAGTGCATCTGTGGAGAACATATTAGTACTCAATATATCTTTAGAATATAGGCCTACATCAATATTAAATGCATCAGTAGGAAAACATTAATACTCAGTGCATCTGTGGAGAACATATTAGTACTCAATACATCTTTAGAATATACATCAATATTAAATGCATCAGTAGGAAAACATCAATACTCAGTGCATCTGGGGAAAATATATAAATAATCAGTGTCTGTTAATAAATACATCAATACTCAGTCCATCTGTCAATATTATATCAATACTCAGTTCCTTGGTGGAAAATGCATCAAAATCCAATGCATTTACAAAATCCTGTCCAACACTACAACTGAGAACAAAGAAGAAGAAAGAAAAGCATTTGAGAAAATCACAACTCTAAACATGTCTGAAGAACACACATCAATTCTGAGTGCATCTTAAAACTTTTGGAAAACACATCAACAAATCAGTGCACTTTGAGAAAATCACATCTCTAAATGTGTCTGAAGAAGACACATCAAAACCCAGTGTAGGTGAGGAGCTCAGAATTCTCAATGCATCCACTGAACACAGTATGTCTAAAGAAACACAATGTCACTGTCAACACAAGAATAAATAACACAAAAGTTGCAGTTACAAAAGTGTTTCTGTGATATCTTACAAGTACCTACAAGGTGAATGCTGTATCAAACTGTACATACTGTCAAACATTTGTCAAAACCTAATCCTAAGTCTCAACTAGCTGAATAATGTATTGCACATACTTGTCTAACATTTATCTACAAGCTGAATACTGTATTACAAATACTTGGCAAATACTTATCAATCCCTAAGTCTCTGCAGCTAGCTTATAGCTGTATCAAACTGCACACACTTAAGTTACACTAATCAGGGATTAACCAGCCAGCTGTTGCAAGTTTATAATTGCTCATGCAAGACTTCATGCTGCTACAGACTAATCTAAAAATACCACCCTGTTCAAAATCCATTTACCAACAAGTGGTGATCCAGGGGAGACCTTGTGTCCATTAAACCAGTTGTTGGATGGGTGGATGTCTTCATAGTTCCACAGCAGGCGCAGGTTTAGGTTATTCTTTTTCTGTGTAAAAAAAAAAGGTGTAATGTTATGACCAACAATGACCAGTAATGAATACATAGACTTTACTGTTGTTTACTTTGGTTTAATAAAACTCTGTAATTTTCCAGAAGAATTTAAAAGCAGAAACTAACACAATGAACTTAACTAAACCAATTTAGTCTAAACTTTGAAAGAAAAGATTAAGGAAAATTAATTGCACAAATCAACTGCCAGAGAATGTGAAGAAATTTTTTTAAAGATCTGACTACAAACAGTTAATTTGCTTTTAAATTCTGAGTAAAAAAATTTAAGAATGATGAGATAAATAAACAAATGTTTACTGACCAACAGAAAACAATTGTTTACTCCCCAGTGCACCAATGAAAACAAATGTTTATTACCCAGTGCACCAACAAACGTTTACTCCCAAGTGCACCAACAAACGTTTACTCCCAAGTGCACCAACAAATGTTTACTCCCAAGTGCACCAACAAACGTTTACTCCCAAGTGCACCAACAAACGTTTACTCCCAAGTGCACCAACAAACGTTTACTCCCAAGTGCACCAACAAACGTTTACTCCCAAGTGCACCAACAAATGTTTACTCCCTAGTGCACCAACAAATGTTTACTCCCCAGTGCACCAACAAACGTTTACTCCCAAGTGCACCAACAAATGTTTACTCCCCAGTGCACCAACAAATGTTTACCCACCAGTGCACCACCAACAAAAACAAATGTTCACTCACCAGTGCACCAAGTGCAGCCTCTCTCTTCTCTAGTTTAGTCCTCAAAGCTTCAATATCCCTCTTGATGTTCTCCTTTATCTGGTCTGTATTGCCTGAGCTCATCACATCCTCCTAGCAATAACAACAAAAATAAACTTTCATCTACAACAACAAAAATAAACTTTCATCTACAACAGGGGTCTCCAAACTTTTCAGTCCGAGGGCCACATTAACTATCAAATTTCAGTTCGGGGGCCAGTTTCTTCCAGACATGTCTTTGATTTTTCTGGGCAAAGTTCCTCAGCTATCACCAACAAACGATTTTTACTTGGACAAAAAGATCGCAGCGGGCCGGATGAGAGGACTTCGCGGGCCGCATCCGGCCCGCGGGCCGTAGTTTGGAGACCCCTGATCTACAACAACAAAAATAAACTTTCATCTACAACAACAGAAATAAACTTTCATCTACAACAACAAAAATAAACTTTCATCTACAACAACAAATATAAACTTTCATCTACAACAACAAAAATAAACTTTCATCTACTGCGTTAAAATTACCACATCATTTTAATAGCTCGAGGGTATTAATGGGGAAGTTAACTACAAAACCTAGGATTTCTTTTACAGGGTACTTAAACCAAAACTGTTTTTAAGTATAGTTATTAAATAATTTAAATAGTTCTTGCATTTTAATTTCCGAGGGTCGGGTAATCAAGTAGCGAAATGCCACAGAGGGTAGCCAGCATACAGTCAACATGCGAATACATCAACAATTATCTACTAAGCCATGCATAGGGCACCATGGATTCAATACACAACGGGCATGTCCAGATGTTTTTACTTTAGCACAATGCCATGGGGGTCAACAATTATGTCTAGTAAATATGTAAGTAAAGTTCCATTTTTGAACATGGTCCATGGGGGAAATAAAGTAGAGTCCACCTGTTCATGTAACCTTGGCATATGAAGAGATAGTGTGGTCAGCACAATGCCCAGCCGCCTTTACTTTCCTTTCCTCAATGTAAGTTAGGGACACATAAGAGCTGGGTGGACTCAAGGGATGTTCTACTGACTTGAACCCAGAATTGAGCACAAAACTTTGGGATAGCAGTCTAGCACTCTATCCCTGGGCCATGCAGTCCCATTACCTGCTGGTCCTGGCACTCAGTCTCCACATCCTTCTGCACCAGTCTCCAGATGTCTCTCAGGTCCAGCTGCCTGGCCAGTGTACTGCTGCACAGGTTTTCCTAAACCACAGCACAATTTCTTAAATTAGTGCCAGAATACACTGAAGCATGGTAGTTATAAGTAAAGTTACCCTTTCCAACCTGGTGGCTCACAAGGCAGATGGAGTAAAGCACAACTGTTTTTGTGACCACAGCATATGAAGGGATAGTGTGGTCAGCACTTTATCTTTGTCACCTTTACTATCCCTAACATGTCAGGTACTTGACTTTACTTTCCCTTTCTTCTTCTTCTTCTTCGTTCTTAATTATTAGTGTTGAAGGGGATCGAGATTTTATATGCCAGTGGGTTTGAACTCGAAACTTTGTTCAAATTTATCAAACATGAGCTTTTTGCCAACTCTACCACGCCTCCAACACAATTAAGCGTTACGTGTCAACTGGTTATGCGCCATTGAGGCCATTGACTCCGATTTCAGCCTGCTTTTCTTTTTGGATTTGCTTCCATAGCCTTTGTCCAACCAAGAACAAACTACAAGGCAGCAGTTGTTTTAATTTTGGAGTTGTCTCTCCTAGAAGAGTGGCTGTCCCCAGCTAACGAGCCTCATCTGCCCGAGGGTTCGAACTCGAGACTTTTCGGTTTAGCAACCATGAGCTTTACCGACTCAACCACGCCGACCCCTAACATAAGTCGGGTACTTGCTTTTACTTTCCCTAACATAAGTCAGGTACTTGCCTTTAATTTCTCTAACATAAGTCAGGTACTTGACTTTACTTTCCCAAACATACATCCCAAACATAAGTCAGGTACTTGCCTTTACTTTCCCTTACATAAGTCAGATACTTGACTTTACTTTCCCTAACATAAGTCAGGTACTTGCCTTTACTTTCCCAATCATAAGTCAGATACTTGACTTTACTTTCCATTACATAAGTCAGATACTTGACTTTACTTTTCCTTACATAAGTCATATATTTGACTTTACTTTCCCTAACATAAGTCAGGTACTTGACTTTACTTTCCCTAACATAAGTCAGGTACTTGACTTTACTTTCACTAACATAAGTCAAATACTCAGGTGCTGGTCAGATTTAGATTGATTCAGGGAATTCCTACAGACTCAGGCCAGGGACCCAAACACAAGACTTTCAGGTTAGCAGTTTCACACTCTACCATCTGACCATGCCAACTCATATAGGTTATAGTCATACATTTATTTTAATTAACATTTTAAAAATTATCATTAAAAAATTAAAAAAAAAAAACACGTTTTCTGATAAGCCAGAAGAGGGAAAGTACGGAACCTTGTTTTTATCAAATTACAATTACTAGGTTATGTCCCTTTTTTGTACAAATCAATAGGAGTCTAAAATGATCAAAAAAATTTTCCATGGATCAATTTAGTAATAATAATAATTGAATATTGTATTGTTATTGGAAACAATGCTTCCCTGAAAATTTCAGTGCGCTAGCTAACTGGGAAGTGCCCGAAATTTTGATCGCAAGATTTGATGGAAAGACAAACAGACGCGAAAGCAAGTTAAAGAAAACGTGGGAAAAATGGGGAAACTAAGAAGAATCCAATTCATCAACCAATAGATACAAACCAATAAAATTAAATCAGTTTCTTTTACTATTATTTTAAAACAGATAACAAACTATCATTGTTGTCTACTTTGACATTTATTATCTGTACAATCCCACTTTATGTTTCATTTACCTCCCCAATTATCTCCCCTTCCCAACTCCTGTCAGCTAATCAAAGATGCCAGAATTGATCAAATCAAGCCTTACCTCCAGCTCTGCACATTTCAGTTTCTCCTTCTCCAAGCTGGAGCTGGCATTCTGTGCTTCCTCGTCCAGTTCAGAGATCTTCACTGACAACATTGGAGAAAGACAATTTCACAATTAACATTGTAATGAGTAACATTTTTAGATATATCACTTAACTTTCATGGGTCTAAATGTTTCCAGCGTAATCTAGGGCTAGAAATCTAGTCTGTGAGTATTCAATTCACTTAAATTGATTTAAAAAAAAATAAAAAAATGTAAAAAAATAAATATATAAGCCACTCTACTTCACATACACAAAGAAAAATAAGCAGTTTTGTAAACCACCTACACGCCATGGGATACAATTTTTTTCCCATAAGAACATAAAACTAAAACTAAACTGTAACCCAGGTCTAGAAAATCTAAACCAGCTGTAGACACAGATCATTTTACCAATGTATAACATAGAACAAGCTGTAATAGACCCAGATCAATTTACCTATGTATTGCAATATCAACTTTCTGCAGTCACAAATGGAATATTCCTCCTCAAATAAAACAACACAATATAGAAAATATACTTTTTTTTTTAAATGTACCATCTGAATAACTGAGTCATCACATTATCTATCAATGTTTTTTATTCAGCTAGTTATAAGCCCCTACTTCATTCTTCATTTTATAAATCTATTTTTTTTTAATAATTTGTATGTTATTACTTTCTTTCAAACAGCATAGGCATAAATCATTAAATGTGTTACCAATAAGTAAAATGGTCACCTTGTCTATTATTTACTATTACAAAAAAATGTTCTCATAGTTAATAGTATTACATCACACAGAGATTAGTCTATAATGAAAATCCACAAACCACATTTTGATAAATCAAACAAATACACACATTATAAATAAGCTGACACAGGTAACATTTAGTAATTACTAGCCGTCCCGGCCAGGCCCTGCTCTGGCTTCTGTGAAAAACCTTTCTGTTAAAGACCATTACCTGTGTGTTTAGTAATCATCATAAACCCGGCATTGCCCACCCAAACCACAACCAACCAAAACAACAAAACGCAAACATAACGCTAACACAATTACAAATACAAACGAAAACAAAAACCTAACAACAAACCCAACCACAACCACAAACACCAATACAAACACAAAGAAAAAACAAACAAAAAAGCAAACGAAAACAAAAACCTAACAACAAACCCAACCACAAACACCAATACCAAAAAAAAAAAAAAAAACAACGAAAAAGCAAACGAAAACAAACCAAATCCAAACACAAAACCAACCAAAAACACAAACCCAAACAAAAAAACACAAACAAAAACGAATAAAGAAAGAACAAAAACGAACCAAATCAAAACGCAACCACTAACGCAAACCCACCTAAACACAAAGAAAACACTAACGCGAACATAAACGCCCGGGGCGGAATCACCTGTTTTAGCTTAATGAACGACTATAGTACCCCAACTTATTCATAGTCTTTTGCACTCACTTAAACGAACGCGCCTGTTTCAATTTGATGAACAATTATAATACTCCAAGCTTATCCGTAAAATACCTACAACATTTGCACTTGATCAATCCCCGCTAATTATGTAATTATTTTTTTTTTCCCAACACCAAAACAAAGTAATTAAAAAGTAAACTTTTTTTCACAAAATGCAATGGTTTTATAAAGGGAAGTAATTGTGTTTTCCTAATTTATCAAAGGGAAATAAGTGCTATAGGACTAAATAAAGACATAATTAGAATTGTTGTAAAAGATGCTATTTTTTTAAAACTTGTGTTTAATGAACATGCCGACAATTATTACTTTAATTTGAAAAATGAAAATTATTTCCCAACACTTTCAATAGTAATTTTTTAACTCATAAATTTAGACAAATGCACACGATAATTGTCTAACACTTAAATACATCCAAGACCAACGACAAACATATGCGTTACATACAGAACTGAGCTTTATATATTAGATTTAAAAGCACCATCAAGTCAACCAAAGCCCTTAAAATGTGTACTGGCTTATAAAAATCAATACATTCATGAAGCCAAGGGAAGCAAATTTATAAAAAGTAACCCTAATCAATGCAGCATGGATTATTTTTCAGGAATGCTTCTGGCTATTTTGTAAAGAGCTGTCAAGGCTATTTCTTATAGTTTACATTTATTTCCTTATGTTTATATTTATAATCATGTTTTATTTAATGTTTTCTATTTAATTTTTGAAATTCCGTTTCAATGAAACCTTAGAAACAATATAAAATGAATAAGTCTTTAAAAAGTATTGAAACTAGGAAACTTTAATCAACACATTTGTTGTTTTGGATTACATTAACAACTTTTACTTATACTAAAAAAAAATAAATAAATAAAAAATAAAAAAAATAAAAAATTACGAAGGGGCTCATGTATTGGAAAAAAAAAAAAAAACAACTTTTACTTATACTCTGCAACAAGATCTTTAACATCAACACTGTTATCACATTAAACAAACTCCTTAAAAAAGGAGACAGGATGGACCTATCAAAAAGCAAGGGCAGTAGCTATCTCATCAATAGACTGACCATTTGGAACAGTGGAATGCTATCTATAGACTGACTAGACTTGATTTATAGGACAAGGCACATTTCAATGGACAGATACTAGACTTGATTTATAAGACAAGGTACATTTCACTGGACAGATACTAGACTTGATTTATAAGACAAGGTACATTTCACTGGACAGATACTAGACTTGATTTATAGGACAAGGTACATTTCAATGGACAGATACTAGACTTGATTTATAGGACAAGGTACATTTCAATGGACAGATACTAGACTTGATTTATAGGACAAGGTACATTTCAATGGACAGATACTAGACTTGATTTATAGGACAAGGTACATTTCAATGGACAGATACTAGACTTGATTTATAGGACAAGGTACATTTCACTGGACAGATACTAGACTTGATTTATAGGACAAGGTACATTTCACTGGACAGATACTAGACTTGATTTATAGGACAAGGTATATTTCACTGGACAGATACTAGACTTGATTTATAGGACAAGGCACATTTCACTGGACAGATACTAGACTTGATTTATAGGACAAGGCACATTTCACTGGACAGATACTAGACTTGATTTATAGGACAAGGTACATTTCACTGGACAGATACTAGACATGATTTATAGGACAAGGTACATTTCACTGGACAGATACTAGACTTGATTTATAGGACAAGGTACATTTCACTGGACAGATACTAGACTTGATTTATAAGACAAGGTACATTTCACTGGACAGATACTAGACTTGATTTATAGGACAAGGTACATTTCAATGGACAGATACTAGACTTGATTTATAGGACAAGGTACATTTCAATGGACAGATACTAGACTTGATTTATAAGACAAGGTACATTTCACTGGACAGATACTAGACTTGATTTATAGGACAAGGTACATTTCACTGGACAGATACTAGACTTGATTTATAGGACAAGGTACATTTCACTGGACAGATACTAGACTTGATTTATAGGACAAGGTACATTTCACTGGACAGATACTAGACTTGATTTATAGGACAAGGTACATTTCACTGGACAGATACTAGACTTGATTTATAGGACAAGGTACATTTCACTGGACAGATACTAGACTTGATTTATAGGACAAGGTACATTACACTGGACAGATACTAGACCTGATTTATAGGACAAGGTACATTTCACTGGACAGATACTAGACTTGATTTATAGGACAAGGTACATTTCACTGGACAGATATTAGACTTGATTTATAGGACAAGGCACATTTCACTGGACAGATACTAGGCTTGATTTATAGGACAAGGTACATTACACTGGACAGATACTAGACCTGATTTATAGGACAAGGTACATTTCACTGGACAGATACTAGACTTGATTTATAGGACAAGGTACATTTCACTGGACAGTTACTAGACTTGATTTATAGGACAAGGTACATTTCACTGGACAGATACTAGACTTGATTTATAGGACAAGGTACATTACACTGGACAGATACTAGACTTGATTAATAGGACAAGGTACATTTCACTGGACAGATATTAGACTTGATTTATAGGACAAGGTATATTTCACTGGACAGATATTAGACTTGATTTATAGGACAAGGTACATTACACTGGACAGATACTAGACTTGATTTATAGGACAAGGTATATTTCACTGGACAGATATTAGACTTGATTTATAGGACAAGGTACATTTCACTGAACAGATACTAGACTTGATTTATAGGACTAGGTACATTTCACTGGACAGATACTAGACTTGATTTATAGGACAAGGTACATTTCACTGGACAGATACTAGACTTGATTTATAGGACAAGGTACATTTCACTGGACAGATACTAGACTTGATTTATAGGACAAGGTACATTTCACTGGACAGATACTAGACTTGATTTATAGGACAACGCACATTTCACTGGACAGATACTAGACTTGATTTATAGGACAAGGCACATTTCACTGGAGAGATACTAGACTTGATTTATAGGACAAGGTATATTTCACTGGACAGATACTAGGCCTGATTTATAGGACAAGGCACATTTCACTGGACAGATACTAGGCTTGATTTATAGGACAAGGTACATTTCACTGGACAGATACTAGACTTGATTTATAGGACAAGGCACATTTCACTGGACAGATACTAGACTTGATTTATAGGACAAGGTACATTTCAATGGACAGATACTAGACTTGATTTATAAGACAAGGTACATTTCACTGGACAGATACTAGACTTGATTTATAGGACAAGGTACATTTCACTGGACAGATACTAGACTTGATTTATAGGACAAGGTACATTTCACTGGACAGATACTAGACTTGATTTATAGGACAAGGTACATTTCACTGGACAGATACTAGACTTGATTTATAGGACAAGGTACATTTCACTGGACAGATACTAGACTTGATTTATAGGACAAGGTACATTTCAATGGACAGATACTAGACTTGATTTATAGGACAAGGTACATTTCAATGGACAGATACTAGACTTGATTTATAAGACAAGG